TTGTTTTGATGCGAACATGTGACGCGCATCCTCGACACAAGCAGCAAGGTCATGGGAGAGGAGCGGGAACGGCCGCCGGATGAAAGAATATCCCGCTCCGCATTACACCTTGATATTGCTGCGGCTCCACCTGTGTTGATGGTGGCATCGTTGATTGCCCGAACGGGAATATACCTGTAACCACCAAGACAAGAAATGGGCCCATTACCACTCACTTACTCCTAGCATCACCCTGATAACACCTCGCAGCCAATCATGCTCGGCACCAAACGCCCCGCAGAGGCATCTCCGCACGGTCGAGTGTAGGCGTAGTGTGAGTGGTAGCATATGTAAAGCCGGATTGTTGGTACACCCGCATTTGCTTTTCCCGTGTCGATCAGGACACTCCCTCTTCCACCTGAAACAAACAAGCCCATCACACAAGACAAGAGGGGTACATGCGACCGATGGAGCACAACAACACACCATGTCCACACAACCCGGAGAATACGGTGTTTGCATCGACTAAGCTTTGCTAGATCGACGACTAGCCTCATCTCCAAGCCTAAAATACCCAATTCCGAGCCAGTGGGGTTACTTGTCTCCAACACACGCAGGTTGGGGCTATGGCTGGAACGGTCATCGCAGCCTGTAGCCAATAACGTCGAATACCTATTGCCGGCACACCGGACTTGGGGCTGGTTGGCCTGACGGCCTGCAGCATCGCACATGGCGCCAGATAACAGCAACATGCCTGCGCCTCTTCAGCTTGGGGTGTTGTTATGTGCTCTCCCTCCTGCTTCACCTCTCTGTTTTAGCTCGTCTATTCTTTGCAGTCAAGTACTCCGAGATTGTCAATCAGTCTGTTCAAGACTCAAACTTTCATAAAAGTTGCCATCTTATTTCGCGTCATCGATTCAAGAAACCAGGTCAGCCCTGGTATTCCTCTCGGCCCCGCATCTCCTGCTACTGGCCAGGACGCGGACAACCACCACCATAGCCCAGCCTCTAAATCGGCTGTACTTGAGTGATCAGGCATCTCACTGCACAGCCGTCGTCTGACTGGTCTTGATACCTGCCACCTACTGCAGTCCATCTGTCTGCCCCAAATCGCCTCGTCAGCAGATCACCTCAGCCGCAATGGCTCCCCAGCAAGACGGTTGGGAAAAAGAAGAACGAGGCCCGCCGCCATGGGTTCCCCAGGACGACTTTGACGTGACAATTGTCACGACGATAACTTCATATACAGAAGCGTCCGCGGAACAAAGTGAGCCTACATCCATGGCTTTTCAGACGCAATCTCTCTCAGACGACGACGACGATACTCAGACAAGACATCGTCCCAGCACCCGACCCGATGGATACCCTTCAACGCTGCCTTGGCCTCCATATGGATACGGAAGCCACACTGCCACGACGAACCCTTGGGAGATGTCTATTTCGACAACAGCAGCCCTTTCAGAAACACCGTATCCCGAGTTGGACTCGACTCTATTGTTGTCAATAACCAATGTTTTTCCAACGACAACTGGAGCACCATCGTCAACCATTAGCTCATATGGAGGTCGGCCCTCTGGATGGGAGTGGTCTCACGAGGGTCCCAGTAAGGCTCCAGTGTATGCTGCAGCAGCTATAGTGCCTGTCATAATCCTTGTGATTGTCGGAGCAGTAACTCTGGTGTGTCTGCGCAGGCGCAAGAAGCGCAGGGCAGAAGCTGCTGCGCGGGAAATCAAGTTGGAGCCAGAGTCGCCCACGATACGTCCTCACATGGCACCATTACCTGCGCCGATACCAGCAGTAGCTGTCTCACAACATTACACTGCGCCGCCAAACCACCTCCCGCCGACATCTACCTGGAATCAACCTCAGCCCATAATTATAGGTCCCATCGTATCCTCTTCCAACGGCGCCTACCTCACTGGCATGGATACCTCGGACATGGTTTCCATCACCTCCAACAACCGCTTGTCGGTCGACCCCTTCTCCGACAGCTACAGCTTGTCAGGCCCACCGCCGCCCTACCGACCCAGTAGCGTGCCTCCGCCGAGCTTCACGAGCAACTCTCGACACAGCAGCGTTCGTCTCCCTGCTAGCCCTGTGTGCCTGACGCGTTCGCCCTTTGATGATCCTGAGGATGGCATGTCGTTTATGGAGGATGGAGAGACTCAGGGTGACCGTTATGCTAGGGCATATACTACAAGGTGATGACAAGGATGGGGTGTGTGTGTTGGTGTGTTCTTTTGTGTATATATATTTATATTTGGCCTTCTGTCTGGGTTTTGTCCGGTTTTCATTGTGGAGGGAGTTATTTGGGTTGACTTGGCATGTGTATGGGTAGTTGGTACTGATTTTCTGCATCTTTAGCCAACATAATTCAATAGTTCATTCATATGATATTTTTCAAGATCATGGGAGTATTGTATGTGACCATTTCAACGCTCCACATATAATTCTTTGATCGCTATCGTGTTTTCCGGGAATTCGATGTAACCAGGAACACACAACTTCATTATTCTTGCTTTTTTCCTCGCCAAGTTCTACAAGGCAGATTCGCATAGTACCCAAATGCATACGTGTTGAGATGGGGTACGTGCACCACGACATCTATTTCCTGTTGAGGAAGTCATGAATCAACGAACCGCCACATCTGTCTATCGCACCTAGTAAACCTTCCCAAGAAATCCTGCTCCACTCCCTTATCTCCTAGTCCCAACCCAAATCACCCTCTCCCCAAACTCCTTTTTTTCTTTCCTAATCAGTAAAAAAGGACTATACCTTGGAATCCCCCATCTCGATATACTAGCAACACATGATACACAAGCCGGCACGGTTGTCCGCGCAACAAACTAGTATAGAGGCCATTCGATCGCGTCAACGGGACAAGGACCAATCGGTTTGCCGGAGCATTGCGGTTTACACGCGCTATTCTTGGCACTGACGTCAGGTACGGGATTGTGGAGTGGTGGGCTGGGAGCTGAGGGTGCCAATGTAATGATTATCATTGGAAACATAGAGAGGTTTTGTTTCCCGGTCGATTCGACATGTCATCTCTAACCACGTCTTTCTTGACGGGTGTTTGAATCCCCCGACTTGCATGCATGCTCACCGGGATCCCATATTGCAACCGCAGCTGGGAATAGCGGACACTATACTTACTAGCCAAACGAGTCACGCCAACAAAATGAGGAGCAAAAGAAAGAGAGACAGCAGCTGATAGTTCGCGACGGTACCTTGCATGCAAGGCGCAGCCGCTAGTATCTAAAACAGAACGCGGTACCGACCAGGTACAGTTACGTCCGTCCATCCACCCATCCATCCATCGAGCCGGACGATCCATCGTTCCACGGAGGCGAGCTCGATCTCCGGTTTCCCACCCACACACACGCAGCCTCCGGACAAAAGTTGGAATTGTGGAGGGAGGGAGGTAAGGAGGGAGGGGGGCTGGAAATTAACACACATGCCCACACAAAAATGTCAATGACGCTTCCACCACGTACATAGCATACGCTTGACTGCAAGCTAATCGGCGGGAGAGAGTGCCGGGGCCAAATCAGGATGCACCACTCTCAATCTGGTGATGCGGAGAAAGGAGTAAAAAGAGCGCAATGCAGTTGATGAGTGAGGCGATGAGTGGGGTTCTTTGCTCACCGGTAAGTAAGAAGGGAGTTTGTATCGGGGTAATACTGGGACAGATTTGCGCATAAGGATATGACGGCTAGATTCGTCGATGTGCTGCTTGGCGGGGGATTGGGAATGGCGCGGTGCATATTGCTGACACACACACACATATACACACACGGGGGCTTTTGCCTGTGCCAGCTGGCATTGTGTTAAACAAGAAGCGGACTTTCTTTTCGGGTATCTTTATCTGGGCTGTATTCTTCATTGCTTATTTCCGGGGTATTTTGATTGGGAAAATGCAAGCTTGATTCCTATTCGTAGGTATGGAAGGGAGGATCCAAGGCAAGGGAGAGACCATGACATTGGGGCGCATGAGTGGCTGGCGAAGGAGTGACTCTAGAGTGTAGAAGGCCCGGACTTGGCGCATGGGGGATGGCCTTGGTTAGGGCATAGTATCTAGGGCCTCGAGTCGTCTCGGGCCTTGTCACGTCTATGTTTAACCCATCACCTTGTTGCAGCACGCTGCCGTCACGGGCCAAGAAGCCATGGCGGAGCATGTCGTCTTCTCTCTCTCCCTCTTTCTCTCTCTGATTGTGTGGCCTTGTATACGAGGTTACTACTAGGGCATCCATGTGTATGTATAGTCATGTCTTTTTCCTGGGGCCCGGCCGTTCACCTTATTCGCTGCTAGGCTGGGCGCGGCGTCGGCGATGCAAGACGATTCCTCCACGGGCTCCCTCCCTGCCGTCACCACCCAATGATGCCAGCCTCGCCATGTCGTTATGGACGGCCCATGCGGCTCGGTACCTGAGCTAGACGACTGCTGCTAGGCCTCAGCAGAGACGGCGAGCCCGGCGTCCCTCAGCACCCGTGTTTGCATGCGCTGCTGCTCGGTGGGCCACGATCCGGGTACTTGTCACCATTTTGTCCTTCTTTGCCGAACTATACGTCTTTTGCCTTTGCAGCTTCAGACTCTTTGCCCGGCCCCACTGCAGAGCTGCCTAGTACGTGAAGAAACCTTTCACCGTTTCTTCATCCTCGCCAGAGAGCCTTCTACTGCGCCGCTTGCTGTCCGTGACCTGTGTCGTCGTCGAGCCATCACCGCTCTGGCACGCCTCCTGCTATTCCCGCCTGCAGCCTGCAGCCTGCTACCCAACACCCACCACACGCTTCTCCTTGACTACTAGCTCAAACCTTTTTGCTCCAGCCTGCAGATAAAACAGACCGACAGACAGATACAAAGACAAACAACCCCCATCTATCCATCTCGGCCACGACACCTGCCGCCTACACCGCTCACCCTTCGACCCCAACGCCTCGCTTCCACCACCCGCCGCCGGAATCGTATATTGGTCGATACATGGTCCGTAGGACAGTAACGCTGTGTTACCGGGCTGGCTATGAGTCTGGATCAGCATACATATGCGTACGGCTTCCCTTTTTGCCCGATTCCCATCCCCCCCCCCCACGTGCACCCTTTCTCTCTGAAGCCCTGGGCCTAAGGAGACATGTGCTACTGTCGGGGCCGGTGCCACAAGCTTCACCGTCACAACCACCCGCCGTCGTCCATGGTTTCTCTGCTTGGCTTAAGCGTCGAATCTGACACAAGTCAGTCCCAATGGGGGTTTGGGGTAGGCAGAGGGGCAGGCAGCACCGCACGGTTGTCATCTGAAGCTTGTTGCCCATCGGCCCTAGACTCTCTCTCCCCCCGAAACTGTATTCCAGTAAAACTCGCCCAATTCCCTACAAACCAACATGTTTCTTCTTCTCCTTGTTCCTTGTCTCCTTGCTACTTCCCCATCTGCTCTCCATTGACCGCTTGCCCGTTTTTGTTTTTCTCCGTACATCGGCTCGCACCTGCATGTGCCCCAGGCTAACGTGGGTCACACGCTAGATCGACCGACTGGCCTCTACCAAGTCCATCCTCAACACCAAAGTCACTGACGTTCCCGGACGCTCCCCTCAAGACCCCAATCACTGATACGGCTCCTCACTCGCACTTCCTCGACGCCTGGGCAACCCCGCTACCCAATGCCCAGCACACCCCTGTTCAAGCGCCCCTGTTCGCTTTGTCGACGCCCATAGACAGGCCGTCGAGCTCGTACAGCCAGCCCGTTCGCACCCCCGAAGACCCCGAGTTCCATGTCAACCACTTTGCTCCTCAGAACCTGCCTCTGCCGCCAGTCGACGTCTCACGCAGACTGGCGTCGTCGCCTGACCTCGGCCAGCTGAAGAACGCCGCCGCCGGGACACGAGGGCCACCGCAAGACCATCGTGGGGTATCTCGGCCCGTCACCATGGACTTTTCGCAAATGCAAACGCCGCCCCCGACAAGGGATGACTCGTCTAGGCAGAGTCTACAACAGAGTGCTGGGAATGGAGTGGCCACACCGGCTACGGTCATACATAGGACCCCTAGCCAGATGCCGCCGTCAGAAGCGCTCTTCGATCAGACTCCATTTGGCTTTGGCAGCCTGCAGTACACGCCGGATATGATGCACTTTCCTAGCAACGGGCACATGACAGCGCCACCCATGCCGCAATCACGGCTGTTCTGGGATCCGGCAAATGATGGCATGCACATGGATCTTGATTTACCCATGGGCGTAGATGGATTTGCCCCCACGCCACAGAGAATGGATCAGAGCATGGGCTGGCAAAGCATGCACCATGCCGCTAACATTATGCAGACGCCTGGCTTCCAGAGTTTCCAGGCTTCGCCCGGACCAATGTCGTTTGCAAACTGCCACATGGATCAGGGGCAAATGTCACGACAGGACTCATTTGCATCCGCAACCACTGGTGTAGATCCCAGTATGCTGTTTAGTTTTTCTAATCCCGACATGACTGCTTCTTTCGGTGCTATGCCCCAACTATCCAACGTGGATTTGAGCTCAAGACAGCCGTATGAGACGCAGTTGCGAGATGCACAGGCAGAAAGGGAGATGGCGAAAAAGGCAAGGGGTCAGCATTCTCGCAGTAATACAAGTTCTTCCTCTGGCTCAGTAGACGACGTGAGGCCTGCACTTCATCGGAGTAACACCGATGGTGGAGTAAGGACATCGAGAGCGCCTCTCATGGAACCTTGGACAGCCATGCCAAGTAATACCTCGAACATACCGCGGCGCCCCTCACCTCTCAAGCGTCAAAATGGCGGTTCGCTCAAGTCTATCCCAGAGGTACGACGACCGCGGACACGCCTTATCATTGACGAGACGGGTCGTGCTCGTACAGAAACTGTACTTGCTGGGGACGAGGACAAAACTCCAAAGGCTCCGCGTCAATCCTCTCAGCAGGACCTCCGGCGGCAGTATCCCGGTCTCTACGAAGCGGATGATAGCGAGTCGGAAGAAGACGAGCCAGGCGCGGTGATTAGTCGTAAAACATCCTTCACCGTACCCCAGCCTGAACGTCGAGCACCAAAATATGCACGAGTGGAAAGCGATAGTTATGAAAGAAGCAACTCTCTCAAAATGACACGATCTACTTCACGCCCAGGCGTGGCCTCATTCGACAAGCCTTCCCTGGAAAAACTGCGCCTTGCAGGCAGATCTGCTAGCGATAATTCCATAAGGCGAGCCGGCATCATGGACCTTCCCCCTTCAACCAAGAATTCCAGAGACAACCAAGATCATATGCCCGACTCTCCGGGCAATGCTCTGGGCGCTCTGAAAAAGGTCGTTGGGGCAAGGCAGCAACGGATTGGTACGGTGGTTGCAAGCTAGTCTCCTCTTGCTTTGCTAACTCCCTCAGAACGTGCCTCTCAGAACACGCTCAAAGCCCACAATCAACGCTGGGCCGCTGCTGCTGCTGCCTCTGCTGAACTTAATAACTCCGGACACCACGGCCACTACGATCCTTACTCCAATTCCTTGAACCGCTCAGTGACGACTACCCCCTCAACGGATCGAAGCAACTTTTCGAGCGAAAGCACGCGGTGTATTTGTAAAGGTCTTGTCGACGATGATGATAAACCTATGGTGCAGTGTGAGTCTTGCAATATGTGGCTGCATATTATATGTGTGGGGCTAGACAGGGGGAGTTTACCTCCAGTCTATGTGTGCGTTTTTTGCACGGGGCAGACACCGCTTGTGAGGGCCGGACGGTCAAGAGGACCGCCTGTACCGCTTGATTCCCCACTTACACACAAGTCGGTGTTTAGAGGGTGAATGTCTTGCATAAAAGAGAAGGGAACAATTGGTTTTCGTTCGCCTACTAGCATTACAGTACCGTCTGCTCTCAGTTCATCCCGACTCATCACCCTGGACCCCCCCTACCCCCTTTTCTGCAAATCAGCCACATACAACCTGCACGTTTTCACGGCCACCTTACATATATATACGCGAAAAAAAGAAGTTAACAACACATCCGATACAATCAACAACACACACGGTCCTTTTTGCACATCACCCACATTTGTCTGCTGGCTTCCAGACTTGTTTTCACGCGGTAGAACGCTCGGTTCTCGTTTTTTTCGATCGCTCGGTACCACAACGGTTAATCTTTTCCTCTCTCTCTCTCTCTCTCTCGCTTTTGGCTTGCTTGCTTGCTTGTTTGTTTTGCTTGCTCGAAAAAGATGATAACAGTCATGATATGAATGGATATGAAGTTTCTTGTTTCGTTTTTCTTGTTCGTTCCGGGGGGAGAGGGGGGTATGAGGAGAGATGGCAGAGAAGTAGCATGAAGGAGGGGTTTGATATTTGCATTTACACGGAGAGAAGGACGCGTGCGAGGGGTATGGATAAAGGGGGAGTTTTGTATATACATATAGATATGCGTGGGACCGTGAGGGGTTCATGATGAATAGGATCGGGTATTGCACGTGGACTTGAAAGTCGAAGAGAAAAACATCCCTCTTTGATTCATTTGTCGTGACCTGGTCATGTTCTACTTTCACCTATTTTACCTACCGTCCCCCCATAAACTCCGGCTTAAACGCCTTGACACCCCCCGCCTTCATCAACTCCCGCAGCGCCATGGTAGCATACTGACTACTTCCAAGCTGCAACTTAATCACCACGGCAATCTTATCCTTTTCTTCCTTCTGCTCTCCTTCCTCCCTCTCCCTCTCCAACTCAGTCTTCGCCTCCGTCTCCGCCTTTGCAATCTCCTCCCTCTCTCTCAACACCTCCAAATCCGTCCGCACAAACTGCTCATCCACCCTCGCATACCCAAACACCTCACTTTGCACCTCCCTGAGCGGTCTCGCCAGAAACTTGCGATACCCACCACTTAGACTGACTTCTCGCCACGAGCGCCGCATATTCTGGGGGTCGAGCCCGCCACCCGCCTCACTTGCCATGAATGTCTTGTAGAAGGCGCCGATGGCGTTGGGTGGGTACTCGACGTCGAAGCCGGGCTGGGGGAGTACAACGTCGTAGATTGTGTAGGCACCCGACGCAGCTTCGGCGGCGGAAAGGGGGCGTGCGCGCTCAAAGTTTGATTCGGGGGCAAGAGCGTTTTCGGTGCCGGCGGGGTTGATTATTGTTTCGCCGTCTTGATCCAAACTTGCATCAGGTTGTTGCTTTTGTGTGGTAGGGTTGATTTCTTTATCGCGGTGTTCGTGGACGAGGACGAGGTCGCCTTCGACGACTGAGGAGCCGTAGGTTGCCCAGCGCTTGCCGGCGACGGTGTTCCAGACGAGGGATTGGTAGGCGTGGACGTACATTAGGCGGAGGGTGCGGGGGATGGTCATGAGGGCGCCTTGCCAGTCGGTTTTGCGGTCGTGGCGCCCGGTTTTGCTGTTGCGGGAGCTGAGGTGTTGGATGATGTTGCGTTCGGCGGTGAATTTTCGGGGGAGGAGATTTAGGGCTTCGCTGCCGTTGCCTGTTGTTTTCCAGATGTGGAGGGCTTTGGTGCGGTTGCGGTCGTCTTGGGAGACTTGGATGGTTGGGTCAGTCGAGGTGCCGTCGGCGGCGGCGAGGGCGACATCGCTGTATGCTAGGAGGTCTTCGACGGCGCCTTTGAGGTCGTCTTGGAGCATCTTGCGGCCGATGGCGTCGGTGCTGGCGGCGAAAGAGCCAAAGCGCTGGAGGCCGTAGTAGTTGATGAACCCTTTCTCAGAAAAGTCGGTAATGGCCTTGCGGACCACGTCGTTGGCAAGTTTCTGTCGTTGCTCAAAGTCTAGGCCCTCCTCGCTCTGGAAATGACAATCTCGTAGTGTGATTGTGAACTCGTTGCCCATCAAGTCGCCCAGCTTGATGTCATGATGGGAATGCTCAAAGTCACCCACTGCAGCATTGAAGAGCACTTTGTTGAAACTCTGTATCCGCTGCGCTGTCTGACGCTTGACGCACACTCTCTGCACGGTACATGCCCTCCTGTCCTTTGTACCTGCAAAGCCGAAGCCTTTGGCTCCGCAATTGAGCTTGCTACCGAGAAAGCCTACAACCTCCATCGTGTCCTTGTTCTCTTTGTATAGATTGAAGTGCAGGTATTCACCACCCAACTCCTCCCAATCCAAACCGCCTCTCCGTCTGCCCTGGTCCTCTCGGTCCCGATTTCCTCCCTTTGCCTTTTTGTTCTTCCGCTCTGCTGGGGGCGTGGCTTTAATGCGGATTGATTGGTCATTCTCCATGGCACTCTCTAGCAAGTTGGGAAATATCCGACGAAGGCTTTGATGTGCTTTGGTACGCATATCTTTGTCTGTAATGGGCGGTGATATGACTGGCTTAAAGTCTTTAGCCTTTTTCGATTCTCGCTTTCGTACTTGTTGCACAAGTTTAATAATGTCATCCGTAGTCTGGCGACCAAATATCGAATCTAGTGTTTCGCGGTCTTCGTCTGTAATCTGCACTGCATTAGTATGAACAAGCACTTGTATCCTGTGATCACTCACAGATTCTCCTGTCTCTTGGTCGGTAGCCTTGACCTGTCCAAGAATTTCCTCGCCGTTGGTCTCGGTGTTCTTGGGCTCGGTAGGTACTGCTGCTGGTACAGGCAGCGTCGCCTCTCCAGTTTCCGCATCCTTCATTTCTGTGTCGACCTTTTCATCTTTTGTACCCGTATCAACCGGCTTTGCTTCCTCTTTGACTTCTGTCGCCTTTGCACTCTGTTTTGCTTCCACTTCTGTGCTTCTCAGGTGCAGTACCTGCCCGTCGAGTCCAATCTCGTTGACCAAGAAATCGGTATACCTCTGCTTCAACACGCCCGTGAACCCGAGATTGTCCGGGCATACATACTCGATTATTCCAGCGCGCACTTCGCGCTCCAGCTCGGCATCAATTCCTGCAGGTGCAGAGGGAATAGACTGTACTGTTACTGTTGGCGCAGAGTTACTTGCGGAGAACGTAGGAACAGAATCATCGTTAAGTCGCGCACGTTTCGTGGGCCGCGCGGCATCGTCCGGAGAGTTTGGCATGGTTGCACACAAAAATCGCAACTTGGGAGTGCAGGGTAAAAGTCGCGACTTGCGGTCGAGTTGAGCTTCGAGCTGTGAACTTTCTAGTGGGGAAGTTTTTCGCGAGGACGTGCACGCGGGGGCTACTTTTGGCGAGCAGCGTATCGACTTGAACACGACGGCTTAGCTTAGCATATGTAGCAGCTGTTCACACTTGTGTAGTACAGTCATTAACAATTTCAAACAAGAACAATAGATTCCATAGCTATTTACTCAACAGGTACAATTATCATACATAAAAATCCAAAGAGTGTCATGCATTGCACTGGTAGAAACTTACCCAATTTAATGATATCACATAGACAATCTAACATGTCTGCAAAGTAGATGCAGTCGGTCTCTTGAGAGCATTCATTACCAGTAGGAAGTATCTTGCACGTTGCTTTATACACTGTAAGCAGGGCAAAGATACATCGCCTAGGATCCTGCCTACCATTGGCCATTCGAGTGGATACAGCCCATTGGCGGTAAAGATATGTGATGGCTAGCCCCAACTCGAGTGAACCCACATCATACATTGTCAACCGATAGCTGAAGAGTAAGTAATCGGCTTGGTACTATTCCTTGCCGCAGTACATGGAGGTGGTCGGCATCTGTCACAACGTCAGGCGTGGCAAAAGCAGCGGAGAGGGTCAAACCGCGCTCGAACTCCGTCACTTTACTACTGTCCACATCATGGCCATGGCAGCGAGCATCCAAAATATCTAAGAGCATGATTATTTGCAGGCAAGTCATCCAGACACAGGAAGGGACAAGCTCGTCCTATGTACCATTAGCAGCCTTAAGTTCCCCACCTCCCAGTCATATCACAATGGCAACGCCGCTGGTGCACGCAGCGGTCCGTGAGGAGCCTAGAAGACCATAGTAAGATCTGATCGACGTCAGGTTTCCTCACCTACCAGACAAAAAGGACGGCTTTTCCATGGCCCCCTTCTGCTACCAGGTTGGTACGCAGCCATCAGCACTCCCCGAGATCGTCGTTGACAGAAACCAAGCCAACCCGTCGTCCACCCAGAACAATCTTTGGTCCATAGCCGCCCAAGCATCATTCCTTGTATGCCGTACGTCATCAAACCCGACAAAGTGTCACACCTTGGAGCCCACCAATATAGCCTAAAGGCCTGTACTCGAAGAAAAATAAAAAAAAGGAGGGAAATGACAAGAATCGGTGTCCATTCCGCCAACGCCATGCATACGTACCATGTCAGTAAGATTGTACCAGAAGTACAAACCATGAGAAAGAGCCGTAGAAGGAGGTACGAGACAGATGCTAATCGCGTGCTGTACACATGAGTAACCGGGGCACCAGGCAGAGGTTGGATGATCGTGCGCCCCTTTGTAACAGTGTTACGTACCGACCATTAGAACTTGCTGGCAGCAGCACCCCAGAGTGAGTTGTAAATCTTGTCGACAACGTACGAAGCGCGGATGATGCGGTTGTTGAATGTACGGCCTTGGAGACCCTGAAGAGCCTTCTCGCCGCCAGAAACGGAGTCAAACTTGACGAAAATTTCGCCCTCACTGTTAGTGTCGACAGCAATGTGAACGACCCTGCCGTACTTCTTATCACACTCAGTCTTGACATCGTTTTCAAGTTCTTTGACCCAGTTGTCACCCCAGTTGCGCTGCTCCCTATTGTAGTGTTAGCGACGTCGGCCATGAGACAGAGAGGAACATACTCGTCAGGGTCAAAAGCGTTCTCGATCTTGACGCATTTGGATGCCATGGGCTTGTCAACGACAGGGACGCGTGGTTGGCTAACAACGGGCT